TGCCAACTGAAAGCTGGCGAAAGCTCGAATAAAGTATTTTCAAGATTGAAAGTCATGTTATTCATAGCAGTTCTATATTCGATTTACAAATACTTATTTCCAACTGCTCTACCAACAAATTTCATAAGGAGCTACTTGTTTCCTCTTTAGTTGGATTATTTTATTTGCATTTCAAATGTTACAATCATTTTGTTAATTAACACATGAATTGTTAATTTTCTATTCTTCATCATGCTTGAGAACATAATGAGGTAGCACAAGGCAAACGTTATGTCATAACTGTAGTTAAATATGTCTGTGCACAAATGTTTACGAGCTTACTGTAAAGTAATACTGGAATATCTAGCTACATAAATGGAGTATGTACCGAAAAGTTTCCACAAGGTATATCACAAGGCATATCACGGTGCTAACAATACATTTAAGTTCTCTGATTTACAATGACTTTTTATAAATGACGTCTAATTCATCTATAAATCAAGATTAATAATAAATAAACTATAATCTTCTTTAATCAAATGAATAGGGCTAGCGAAATGCTCATTTTCGATCTGTTATTCAATAATAAATTGAAGCGCATCTTCTCTAGCTGTTACTTGATGATATACGTCAATGCTTCAAACAAATTTTTATGAGGTGTATTATTCGATACGTGAGACTTGTAACAGTCGGTCGTTTTTAAAACGCAACCGTCTGGCTCACAGGCTTTTTGACAAATCTCAAGCATTTGTTCTATTTTGAAGCAAAAGTAGAGCATGAAGATAGCCTTTCCTCTGAATTAGGAGTATAGCGCCTCGAATAATCAACAAAAGTCGAACGAGAAGTGGAGAGTGTTATCATTTGCCGTTCAAATTGAATTGCTGCAAGAGCAGTTATTTGAATCATTTGATCTGTTTGAGGAGTATCACGAAACTGTAAATAAAAATGAAAATGTAGATTATTCAAATAATCATGTTTTATTTGTGATACTCAAATTACCTGCGGCAAATATAGACGGAAAAAAGCTTGTCGTGCTTCAAACTCTTCAACTCGTATCCAATAGTCTCGTATTTTTGTTGTCATTTTTTCATCATCTGATTAAGGTTTTAAAATACATGTTTTACTTTTTATGTGGGGGTATTAGAATTATACTATCTACCTTGATTTCCAGTTTGTCCATCTTGTGGGTGTCGTGGTTGATTTCTTTGACAATTATCCGCTTAAGAAATCAAACGAACATACATATAACTTACACTTGATCAACTTTTAAAAATATCTGATTTACTATCTTGGAGACTAATAATTGCGTCTATTGCTACACTTACATGCTACAAAACATCGGTATATAATAAGTACCAGATACCATGCAATGTTGAGTGGAGGTGGTACAAGTGATCGTTTCAAAGCATCTGGTAATTCTGACTTATCGCAATATTCACTAATTAGCATAAAACGATGATAACGCCATAACAACTTTGATTGTTGTCTAACATCATCGATTGTTACACTAAAACATACAATATATTTTAATGAAACTTTTTGTTTTTAATTGATAAACTTTTAAGTAAACGAGTTACTCCTTCACGTTTTCCGAGAGGTCATGGGAGTGACCATATCTTGACACATTACAGAAAACAAATAAAGTATCCAATCCAACACCTGCCAAGAAATTATTTGTAGCAAGCAACACAAGCTACAGTTTTTCTATCGCTCTATTTCCGAGATATATGATATTCAAAATCAAATTTCAGCAGCTATACTGAATCCACTATGAGGGATACAGGGATACATTTTTGTCTATCACACCACAAATATTTATGTAAACTTACCTAAATAACGCAATTAATGCATTCCATAGGAGAATAACCGATATAAACACAAAGATAACAGTTAGTATCCAGCTAACAATAAAATAACCATTATCGGCTGAAAGTGAATTTAATGAGGAAAACAGAATAGCTAAAAGATTATCTATCCCTCTAACCTCTCTCTGGAATATCGGCATTTCCAAACGCTTTTGTAATACCCCAGTCGAATAATTGTTTAATTAATACCCAATCATATAGTTCATAACCATACGATCCTGCTCCATCATTGACTACTGTTGCATTTATTAGTCGTCCAACTGCATCATAAGACCATGTTACTTCTTTATTCGTGCTTTGTAATGCCGTGACGCTGATGGAAAATCCAAATAGGATAATGATGATAACAGAGAAGAAAAATACTAAGTCTTTCATCTATAATGTGTTTGAAAAATAGCGTTTATACAATGAAAAAAAGAACTTAAGAAAGTTTTCACCATTCTAAATATCAATATTAAATTCCATCCAAGATTTTGATAAGCGGAAAATAAATGTAATATTCTCAAACACCAGAATATTAAATCAATTGCCACAAATATTCTGAAAATACAAAACAAAAACAAAAAAGAGCGACATCGTTCGATGTGTGTGATGTGACACTCTTACTTTGATGTCATAAACACGGGTTCCGACACTTTGAAACGTGTGAAAAATCCAATAAGATAGCATAAAATTGCAACACAATCTAGAACATTCCATTTTTGTCGAAAATAATCTTTGAAACTGCCATGAAGCAGTCGAGCTTGAGCACACTATAAATAAGATAACATATAGCGTGCACCACATAGTGTTATGTTCGTTAAAGATACACAATAATTACTTACTTCTAATATTTCTTCAAATATTATACCCCACATCCAGAAATGTAAAAGAATTTCTGATCGAGTTATTTTCAAATTTGTTGATGTACCACGACGTTCACCGTAAATATTAAGTGGATAATAGCCAGCCAGTAAAACATAACCAAATATCATCAGACACCAAATAGAAAATAACTGAGAATTATAAAACACGTCAAACTTGTGCTGAAAACATTAATTTTAATATACATACGTAATTATTATAAAATACAACAATTGGTGCTTGATAAAAACTTTTTATTTTTCCACTCCACTTTAATTCTTTTCTGAATGGTATAAGATTTAAAAGTATTAAAAGTGGTGCCAGTGGAAATAATACCGTTGTTAAAATTAACTAGATAAATAAATTTATTGTAGTTTACTTACTATTTGCCAAGACACATACTTACTCTACTATGAATATACTCGTCATCTTTCTCAAAATCATGGAACCATAATTCGCTGCATGCCTCATGGACAACACGAGACGAAAAAATACTTTTACAATTATTCCTCTTTATTAGGTGCCGTGGTGTTAATTTCCAAAAAGCGTTGGCTGGACTTTCCATAAAATTCTTTTTTTGTGAATCAAGTGCCAGTTCATCAATTAATTCTGCAGCATATCTTGAAAATTTTCTAACAACAAAAGAATTTACGGATTTTTACTGCATTTTTTTATATCGAAGTGATAAGTACACATACTCAGCTTGGTCTTCGTATTCCTTGCGCTTTTCATAATTTCTTGAACCATTTATTTGTGAAGCTGTATTAAACACGTTTGACGCAATCAGACATTCAACAACAGAATCCTACTATACAAAAACAAGCATATGATAAGAAAATTCATCCAAGAGTTCTGTTTGTATAGGCCGATGAATATGTTATTATACGAACCTTCATGTGAAAAAGTAATTCTTTAGCTTGTTTAATATCGTTATAAAATAAACATAGTAAAAATTCATTTGTCTGACTACCTACAATAGTCGGAAGATACGGATAACGTTGTATAGTAATATCAAACTCATCGAGCGACTTACGCGCAACAGGTCTTTGATCTTCTCTCTGAAATAAAAACTAACTATTAGAGATCATTCCTATACAAAACGAGAAAAAAATACAAAAAGCTGTTGACAAATTTTTTTCCTGTGTGCATGTAATTTACTCGTCGTCTTAGCCCCACATTGTATAAATTATACTATGGAAACAGATGTTAAAAATCTGAGAAACAATGGGCTTTATACATGCTATAGGTCTGAGCAAAATACGCTTCTAATCTATCCGGCAAGTCTCTTAAAATTTCTTCTGTCTGTTGAGTAAAGATAACTCCATTGTGAAAAGAAGTTTTTTTAAGATTCATAGTTACCATTAAATGCTTTTCTATTAGATACTCTTTTAGATACTCTTGGTAGTAGCGTTCTTGAAAATTGGTAACCGAATCTCGCGGTGGTACTTTGAGCGGTAACATTTTGTCCTGAACAGAGAGATAATTCGTCACATATGTATTAGTGATTTATCAGATGTAGAATTTGCAGCAATTCATCTATGGGCACAAACCTGTCGATGGATTTCTAAGGAATCGTAGGCATCCTTCAAATTTTGTTCGCAATTTGAGGGTGTTTGACCGATAACGGTGCTTCTATCATCTGTCCTATTAGGTACAAAACCAGTGAGTAGTTGATACAGTACTTACCGTACGTGGAAAACGGATACTAGTCAGCTCTTGGTACTGATTCATGGATGATCGACTATGCAATTAATTTAAGCAACAAAAAATAAGTATTAGAATCTTAAAGTGTTTTTCTCTTGTTAAGTATGTTTATATAAATACAATACAAATCATAGTTGGGATTTACCCAGTCAAAATAAAATGTGTTTCGTCATAATAGAAACATGGATGAAGGTCAAGTGCCGAAAAATTCAGTTTGTTTTTCTTTCTACAGTTCATTTTGCGTTCGTCTCGCATCACGCATAAATGGAAAGAAAAACAAACTGAATTTTTGTATAAATTCAGCTATTATTTTTTCAAATTAAAGGACAAATCGTGGTAAGGTCATTTTTTCGCCCCAAACATTTAGGGAAAAAACCTACATGGTTAGAATCAGCATTAAATTTAAACAAAACGGTATATATTTTTTTGAAAAAAAATAACTTTTTATTTTTTTTAACGGTTTTTTCCTCCAGGGAAAAAATACTTTTTTTCTTTTTGTTTTTCACTCTATAGTCAATATAGATTATCGACCACGCAGATCACGAATATAAAGTTTTTTTTGCATCAAAATGTGATTTGAATGAAAAAACTGCCTCCTCTGACAAAGGTCATTTTTTTACCTTTGTTCAGAAATCACTGTCTTCCAACCTTAAAAATCAGTCCATAATAGCAATAATACTTTATATATATCTAGAAACGATTGTTCCATCAATTCCAAACAGATTGAGGGCTCAACAGACGTATAATTCCAGTTTTTCCAGTTCTAATGTTTTTTCATAAACGGTAAAATGCCTGTGCAGCTCACTCAAAATAATGTGCATTTCAGAACTTATTTACTTCAGCGTCTCGAGTGAAAATACGTATGTTGTATTAGAAAAATAAAACCTCAACTTTAATGATTGGAAGATATGTTCGTTCTATTAAACTTGTCGAAAAGTTTTAAAACTGTAATCAGGATTCCATAAAAATGTGATTTTTTCGACTATTCAGTAAGACTAAAGGAAAATTTTTGATAAAAGTTACATATGTACCCAAATTGTTTTCGGGATTATCTAAGAAACGTTTTGGAAAACATACTTTCGAAAAGTATGCTTTATTGATTTTAAAATTCATTATTAAAAGTTAGAACTCATTTTTATCAATTTAAATATCCCGTCATCAGACATATGCTAGAACTTTTTGGAAAAAAGCATTGCGAAGGGCATAAATCCTAAACAAATGAAAGGGTTTGCAATAGAGTGCACGAATACATCGTTTTTAGAGAGTCTTTAAACAACTGAAGACGGACAATTTTAAAAAGCAGTTTTTGAATACAAGAATCCTTGGATTCTGGCGTCAAATCCATTTGCTAGACTCATTATGAGCTTTTAAATGCTGACAATTAGCAACTCAGGAGTTTCCCATAGATTTTAAGTGAGCTTTGATAGGTCTTTCCCAATTTTCGGTCGTTATCCGAAGTTTTCTGAAACTTTATTTGCTCTTTGACGAAAGTTCAGCTTTAAAGAGACCTGCACAACGAAATATTCTCTTTGTAATCGATAAGACGTTTCGAAACAACGAGTGAACATCAAGATCGAAAAAGATTGAGTATTCTGATCGTCAAAAATTCGAGCTAACATACAGTGGAATTGACCCAGTCGAACTTTTAACATTGAACGATAACTCATCATTTCTCTATAGTTTCTATAACCTTTTAGCTGGAGAAAGTTTATTGTTCAAACAGTAGACTGACGAGGGAACACCCCCAGGTGCCCCGCTCCGATTTCGTTCGTT